ACTTCATTTATTAGTTCTAGTAGAGTTTTTTAGTGGACTCTTTAGGATTTTCTATGTACAAGATCATGTTATCTGTGAATAGAGATAGTTTTACAACTTCCTTTCGAGTCTTGATGTCTTTTATTTGTTTTTCTTGATTAATTAATTACGCTGGCTAGAACCTCCAGTACGATGTTGGTAGAAGTGGTGAGAGTGGACCTCCTTGTATTATTCCTGATCTCAGGGGGAAGGTATCTAGTCTTTCACCATTAAGTATGATATTAGCTGTGAGTTTTTCATAGATACCGTTTTCCAGAATGAGGAAGTTCCTTTTATTCCTGATTTGTTAGGTGTTTTTATCGTGAAAGTGTTAGATTTTGTCAAATGCTTCTTCCATGTCTATTGAAGTGATCATGTGATTTTTGTTTTTTATTATATTCATATGATGTATCACATTAATTGATATTTGGGTGTTGAACTAACCTTACATTACTTGGATTAATCCCACTTGGTCAGAGTACATGATTCTTTTTATATGTTGCTAGATTTAGCTGTATATTTGCCAGTATTTTGTTGAGGATTTTTGAGTCCGCATTCATAAGATACATTAGTCTGTAATTTTCTGGTGATGTCTTTGTCTGGTTTTGCTATCAGGGTGATACCGGTCTCACAAAACGAGTAGGGAAGTGCTCCCTTCTCTTCTCTTTGTTTTGGAAGAGTTTCAAAAGTTGGCCCATTCTTTAAATGTTTTGTAGAACTCAGTGATGATGCCATTTAGAGCTGGGTTTTTCTTTGTGTGTCATTTCTTTGTTTCCTACTAATTCATTCTCTTCATTTGTTATAGATCTATTCACTTTCTCTAGTTCTTCTTGGGTCAGTTTCAGTAGTTAATGTCTTTCTAGAAATTTGTTCATTTCATCTAAGTTATCTAATTTGTTGGCATATAATGTTTCATCATGTTTCTTTATAATCCTTTCTATTTCTGTAAAGTTGGTAGTAATGTCTCTTTCATTTCTGATTCTAGTCACGTGAGTCTTCTTTTTTTCCTTAGTCAATCTAGCAAATGATTTGTTTGTTTTGTTGATCTTTTCATAGAACCAATTTTTGGGTCCATTGATACTCTCTATTGATTTTCTGTTCTTTATTTCTTTGATTTCTGCTCTAATCTTTATTATTTCCTTCCTTGTAGCTTACTTTAGGTTTGGTTTGCTCTTCTTTTTCCAATATCTTAGGGGTAGGGCTAGGTTATTTATTTGAGATTTTCCTTCTTTCATAATATAGACATTTACAACAAAACCATTTCTTCTAAGCACTGCTTTAGCTGCATCCCATAAGTTTTGGTGTGCTATATCTTCATTTGCATTCATATCAAACTATTTGCTAATTTTGTTTTTTGTTTTTCTTTCACTCATTGGCTATTTTGGAGTGTGTTCTCTAATTTCCATGAATATGTGAGTGCTTCCAATTTTTTCCAGCTATTTATTCCTATCTTTATCCCATTTCACTTGAAGAACATACTTGTATTATTTTTATCTATAAATTTTATTAAGGTTTGTCTTATGGCCTGGCATATGGTCTATCATGGAGAACGTTCCAGTGGCACTTGAAAAGAATCTTGTTCTGTTGTTGTTGGGCAGAATGCTCTATAGATGTTGTTAGGTATAGTTGCTTTATAGTGTTGTTCCAGTCTTCTATTTCCTGGTTGATCTTCTGCCTAGTTGTTCTATCCACTCTCGAAAGTGTGATATTGAATTCTCTACCCATTCTTTTTGAATTATCTATTTCTCCTTTCATATGTTGGTTTTGCATTATATATTTTGGTGTATATGTGTTTATAATTGTTATATCTCAGTGATTAATTTACCCTTTTATCATAATAAAATGTCCCCTTTTATCACTAGTAACATGTTTTAATTAAAGCCTATTTTTAATCCCTAAAATGTACTTTTGTATTTAAAAATTAATGCGTAGCCACTCTAGTTTTTCAGTGGTTGCTGTTTGCATGATATTTGTTTTCCCATCTTTTTACTTTAATATTTCAATATTTCTTACTGAATTTTCAAGGATTTTCTTGATGTTTCTTCATTTGCTGTTTGCCTTTAGGACCATTTCCACAGGTTTTAAATCCTTATATTTTATATTTTCACCAGCGTCACTGGAGACTTGGTCAATGGAGCTCCTCACACTGCCATGCCAAAAATCAATCACTTGCTTCATTATATTTTTAATTTCATGATCTTATTTTTCACCCAAAAGCAAAATTTCTTGATAGAGGAGCACTCTCTTTTGACAGATGCAATATTCTCCTCTCATTGACATCACGAATTAATTTTTTAAGTTTTTTCTTTTTTCATAAAGAAAGTCATTTGCACAAAAGAATTATTCACCTGAATACTTGGAATGATATCCCTCTTTTAGACTATTGAGTGTTTAAAACACTATTTTAACCTGTCTATTCATTTTCAAAGAGGAATTTACTACAGGTTTTTTTTAGGAGAGATGGGTCTCACCAAAATGAAATGCTGATTTATATCCAATATAGTTATAGTATAAATTCCAACAAATGTAACAGAAAAAAATACAGAATTTAAGAAGACCCTCATAAATGAGGGGAGACATAATTTTTAGATTGAAAAAAAATTGTAAGTCAGATAAATCAATGAAGGAGAAACATCCTTCACATCTCAAATAATAAAAACACCAAAATGTTACATATCTCCACAAAGTGAAATTCCATGTGGTTCCTGAATAGAACTTGGTAAATTTTAATTTTACGGTTAAAAAATCATGCAAGCATAAATATAAGGTTATCTAAGAAGAAAAAATAAGTAATAAATGACAATATTGCCTTGGAGAAAGATCCCCATCACATTGTTGAGTGAATACACATGACAAAGAAAAATGCTGAAAGTATGTTCGTGAAAATGGTAACTGTGGCTGCACGGCAGAATTTGGGATGACATTTACTTTCTTTCAAAGTAAATTTTTCTGTATTGCTTGAATTACTCACCCTGGAATTTTTTGTTTATAATCAACAGATTGTAATGCATTGAAATCTGTTTTAGGAAAATTAATTCCATGGGATTTCGTTAAAAATTTACATCTTAAGTTATTGAAGAAATTTCAACAAATATCAAGTAGTAGAAATTGACTATAAGTGAATACAAATTTAAGATGGACGTTAATACAAACAAATCATATCAAAAAAGTCATAGGGATGCTACATAAAAAAGAAACTATAGACAAACCTCATTTATAAATATGACTACAAAAGTCTAAATAAAACTATTGCAAATCAATTTAATATTTTATACTGGGAATGCAAGTATGGTTCAATATTCCCAAAGCTATTAAAGTAAAAGGCACTGCAAAATCATTTGATTAAAAATGAAAAGCCATGGCCAATTATTAAAATACTATTGATAAAACACAAATAGAAGGATAGTTGCTAAATACATACATCCTCTTCTGCTTAAACTTTTTAAGGCTCTTTACTGCACTTAGAATAAAATTTTAAAATCTTAAAAAAAGAGCCTTTAAAAAAAACTTCAAAAGGCACATCACCTGGACCCTGGTTACCTGCGCAATCCCATCTCACTACTCTTCTCTTCAGTCTAGCCTTACTGAGCCATATTTAATTCCTTAAATACAGCAAAGGCCCAGCTCAGGTCCTTTGCACATGCAACTCTCTTTCTGCAATGCTCTTTGATCAAGACTTCATAGACTGGCTTTTTTCTTCCTTCACATCTCAAATAATAAAAACATCAAAATGTGAACAATTATTATCTGTGTCCAAGCAGTAGAATTCAAAGTAACTTATTTATATGCCCTCCTTTTTATTTTTTTTTTTAATTTTTAAAATTTTTATTTCTTAGATATTAGGTTTTCAAAAGAAAAAAAAACATTAAATTATTTTAATGTTTGGTATGCTTGAAATGTGTTTGGTAAGAAACAAATATTGATCTCACATTACCCCCAAAATAATTAGACAGTTGTCTCAATGCCATCTCTTGAATAATACAAAATTTGTCTGCTGATAAAAGTGCTACCATAATATCAACTAAATCCTATATGTTCTTTGGTCTGAATCTGAAGTGCTCATTCCAGCACCAGTAACATACTGTTTTAGAGTTCTTTATATTTTGCCAGAGGAAGTGTCCCCGTGTTCTCTCTTTTTCAACTTTTTCCTAGCCTATTTTCACACTTATTTTTAGATTAAATTTGGATGAGATTTCGTCCTTAAAAACTCTGTTAGAATTTTTACTTCTAATAGGTTAAATTTTAGATTAATTCAGTAGAATACACACATTTGGGATCTTGGTATGTCTATCCATTTATTAAGTTGTTACTTTATGCTTCTCTGGAGAATTTGAAGACCTGCCTGATTCTGGTTAACATTTTAATGCATAGATTTGTTTATTGATAATGGGAATGGGATTGTTTCATATTATACTTTAATCTTATTGTTCCTGATTATTGCTTACATGTAATAATAATCAATAATATTTCTTGAGTACTCACTGCAGGCCGGCTCTTTGTATTAAGCACTTTATTACTTAATTTTATTCTCACCTCAAGCCATTTTTCACACGAAGAAATAGAGTCTTAAAGAATGCAAGTAACTTGGGGGAGGTTTCACAGCTAGAAAGTGTCAGAGCTCAGACTTGATTTCAAGTGTTTTGAAATCCCTTTTTATTTGTAATGGCATTTCAGTTGATTGTTTTAGTTTTCCCAGACAGATCGTCCTATCAGCAAATAATGATAATTTTTCCATTTCCTTTCCATATTTTTACTTTTCCCCTTTGTTCAATTGTATAACATCAATTTCTTATGCTGCATACGCTTGTTTTAAGTGTCATTTAAATCTATACAATAATATAATATAACATATTAATCTTTAAGGACTTCAAGGGAACTGTAAGATGCTATGATTTAAAATAAGACATGGATATTATTTCTATAATATTGAGTATGCCACATTAAAACTTGCTGGAATGACTAAATTACATAGAGATTTTTCATGTTCTGTTTTTATGTCTATTACGTTTTTTCTTATGCATAAAAAAATTGTAAGATGTAGCCTAAGATATTTTTGATGCTAAGAAAACAGTTGATTTTGCTTATTTGAATGTCCTTATTCAGTTGAGGGCCTTTAGTAAATGTTTGTTGCTGCTAATATTGCAGAAAGTTGGGAAAATGGATGGAAGCAATCAGAGTGGAGTCTCCGAGTTCCTGCTCCTGGGGCTCTCAGAGAGTCCTGAAGAGCAACATGTTCTGTTTTGGATGTTCCTGTCCATGTACCTGGTCACAGTGGTGGGAAATGTGCTCATCATCCTGGCCATTGGCTTTGATTCCCGCCTGCACACTCCCATGTACTTCTTCTTGGCCAACCTTTCCTTTACCGACCTCTTCTTTGTCACCAACACAATCCCCAAGATGCTGGTGAACATTCAGTCTCAGAACAAAGCCATCTCCTATGCAAGGTGTCTGACACAGCTCTACTTTTTGGTCTCCCTGGTGGCCCTGGACAACCTCATCCTAGCCACGATGGCGTATGACCGCTATGTGGCCATCTGCCGCCCCCTCCACTATACCACGGCCATGAGCTCTAGGCTCTGTATTTTGCTCCTCGCCTTGTGTTGGGTGTTCTCTGTCCTCTATGGCCTCATCCACACCCTCCTTATGACCAGAGTGACCTTCTGTGGGTCCCGGAAGATCCACTACATCTTCTGTGAGATGTATGTCCTGCTGAGGCTCGCATGTTCCAACACCCAAGTCAATCACACAGTGCTAATTGCCACAGGATCCTTCATCTTCCTCACCCCCTTAGGGTTCATGATCATGTCCTATGTCTGGATTGTCAAAGCCATCCTCCAAATACCCTCAGCCTCTAGCAAGTATAAAGCCTTCTCCACCTGTGCCTCCCATTTGGCTGTGGTCTCCCTCTTCTATGGGACTCTCTGTATGGTATATCTGCAGCCCCTCCACACCTACTCCATGAAAGACTCAGTAGCCACAGTGATGTATGCTGTGGTGACCCCCATGATGAACCCTTTCATCTACAGCCTGAGGAACAAAGACATGCACAGGGCACTGGGAAGACTTCTCCTAGGGAAAGTCTTCCAGAGGTTGACATGAGGGTAATTTTGGAAAGGGGGCTGAAGTGGAGACTGGGAATGTCCTTCACCATGTGCAAGGCATTATCCTATGGGCGATACAGGAGTGATTAGCACACAGATCCAGCTCAGAAGGGGTTTACTGGTTTGTGGTAAAGAAAAGACATGGATGTGTAACCCAGTGTCCCCCAGACCTCACCAGCCTTGGGAATAAATAAGATCACACTAACACTAAGACTAGAAGTTTGCAGGAGCAAAGTCTTCAACTTGCCTGAGACAGGACCACAGTCCCAGCCTTACCCAAATATACCGCAGACATAGCCTCGCGGAGTTTCTCATATTCTCTAGTGCAAACCCACTCATATTCTTCTGAACACTGAACTTCTTTAAGGAGCCTGCTGCCTGTAAGCCATTTATAGAAGACACCTTGCACTCCTCCAACTGCAGATACCCTAGGTGAGGCTGCCCCTTTCCTGGTGCTCTGCAGGCACAGTTCCCACTGCTACAATTCTGACCGACAGTCCCTCTGGACACAGCATCTGATGTTCAGGTAGAAATGACAAGAGATTCCTCTCTTTTGGTCTAGGAAGATTTTTGTCCTTTGGGTGGGCCTCAAAGCAATACTACCTCTCTTGCTTTTTTCCTGTATTACTTTTTTGTGAGAGAAGTCAGACTTTGACCTTGGGAAACTCACCCTGTGCTTTATTTCTGGGGCTCTTCACCTCAAATCTTTTCTTCACTCCCTCAAAACAAAACTGTCCATCAATACACACTCATGAACAGAAGTGGTAGTGGAGGCAGTAGACAGAAAGGAGGTAATTGTGAGCCCCAATCACTACTTAGGTTCTATGATTCTGATATCAATTCCAATGTGTGTGTTTTTTCCACACCACCAAACAATTCTCCAACACCAGTTGAGTGTCCTCCAATTCAACTCAATCTGATGCTCTCTACCTAGAGATAGAATCAGATACCACAGGTTAAGGGCTCAGTCCTACAAGACTGCCCTCCTAAGCTTCAGACACCAATCACAAGTCCAGTCACCTGTGCTTCTGACTGACCAATTATAGTTTGGGGGTTCTAACAATCACATCTTTGGTTTTGATTAATTTACTAGGGCGGTTCACAGAACTCAGAGAAACAGTTTACTTACTAGATTACCAGTTTATTATAAAAGATAAAACTCAAGAACAGCCAGATGGAAGAGATGCTTATGGCAAAGTAGGTGGGAGTGAGCATGGAGCTTCTCTGCCTTCTCTGAATGCACCACCCTCCCCAAATCTTCATGTATCACCAACCCAGAAGCTCTCTGAACTCCATCCATCTGGGTTTTTATGCAAGCTTCATTACATAGGCATGATTGATTAAATCATTGGCCATTGGCTATTGATTTGACCTCCAGCCCCTCGCCCCTTTCCAGAGGTTGGGGAAGGTGATGAGACTGAAAGTTCCAACCCTCCAATCACATGATTGGTTCCCCTGGCAATCAGCCCCAACCTTACTTTCCAAAGGTCACTTCATTAACATAAACTCAGATGTGGTTGAAAGGGATCTGTTATGAATATCAGGACACCTTTATCACTCTTGCCACTGAGGAAATTCCAGAGGTTTTAGGAGCCCTATGTCAGAAACGGGAGGACCAAATGTATATTTATCATAAATCACAGTATCTCAGCCATGTTACTGGATAGAAAGGCCCAATATTGTCAAGATGTCAGTTCTTCCCAATTTAATCTATAAGTTCAATTCAACTGCAATGAAAATCCTGTCAACTTATTTTGTAGATATCAACAGTTTCCAAAGTTTGTATGGGGAGGCAAAAGACTCAAAAGAGTCAACATAATGTTGAAGTAGAAGAAAAAGTTGGAGCACTGATACTATGGAACGTCAAGACTTGCTATAAAGCTTCGGTAATCAAGACTGTGGTATTGGAAAAGAATAGACAAATAAAGGAATAGAACACACAGTCCAAGAATAGACCCACATAAATATAGTCAACTGATCTTTAACAAAGAAGCAAAGATAATACACTGGAACAAAGATAGTTTTTCAACAAATGGTGCTAGAACAACTGGACATTCACATGCAAAAAAATGAATCTAGACACAGACCTTACATCCTTCATAAAAACGAATTAAAAATGTATCAGAGACCTAAATACAAAACTCAAAACTATAAAAGACCTAAAAGATAACATAGGTGAGAACCTAGATGATCTTGCATATGGCAATAATTTTTTAGATACAACACCAAAGCCATGATCCATGAAAGAAATAATTGATAAGCTGGACTTCACTAAAATTAATAAATTCTGCTCTGCAAAAGACAATGTCAAAAGAATGAGAAGACAAACCAGACTGGAAGAAAATATTTGCAAAAGACATATCTGAGAAAAGACCGTTATCCAAAATATACAAATAACACTTAAAACTGAACAATAAGAAAACAAACAAACTGATTATAAAATGAGCCAAAGATTGTAACAGATACCTCACCAAAGAAGACATACAGGTGGCAAAAAAAGCATATGAAAAGATGCTCCAAATAATATGATATCGGGGAAATGCAAATTAAGACAATAATGAGATGTCACTACGTACATACTAGAGTGGCCAATACCTAGAGCACTGACAATACCAAATGCTAGCAAGGATGTGGAGAAACAGGAACTTTCACTCACTGCTGGTGGGCATGTAAAATGGCCCAGCCACTTCGGAAGACAGTTTGGTGGATTTGTACAAAACTAACATATTCTTAACATGTGATCCAGCAATCATGTTCCTGGGTACTTACTCTAAGGAGCTGAAACCTTGTGTCCACACAAAAACCTGCAAATGGATATTTATAGCAGCTATGTTCATAATTGCCAAAAGTGAAAGCAGCCAAAATGTCCTTCACCAGGTGAATGGATAAATTGTGGCACGTCCGGACAATGGCATATTATTCAGCACTAAAAACAAATGAGCTATCAATCATGAAAAGACATAGAGGAACCTTAAATGCATATTATTAACTGCAAGAAAGGAATCTGAAAAGGCTATATACTGCATGATTCCAACTATATGACATTCTGGAAAAGGCAAAACTATGGAAACAGTAAAAATATCAGTGGTTTCGAGGAGTTGGGAGGAGGGTAAGGATGAATAGGCAGAACACAGAAGACTTTTAGAGCAGTGAAAATACTCCATGTGATACCATAATGATGCATAAATATCATTATACATTTGCCCAGATCCATAGAATGTACAACACCAAGAGTGAACTGTAACGTAAACTATGGACTTTGGGTGATAATGATGTGTCAATGTAGGTGCATCAATTGTAACAAATTCACCACTCTGGTTGGGATATTGATCATGGGGGATGCTATGCATGTGCAGGGTCCAAGGATATGTGGAAAATCTCTGTGCCTTTCCTTAATATTTCTGTAAACATAAAACTGCTCAGAAAAACAAAGACAATTTTTAAAAATTCCAATAGATTTTTCACAGAAATAGAAAAAAACAATTCTAAAGTTCATATGGAACCACAAAAGACCCTGAATAGCTAAAGCAATCTTGAGAAAGAACAAAGTGGAGGCATCACATTTTCGTATTTCAAATTATATTACAATGCTACAGTAATCAAAACAATATGATACTGTCATAAAACCAGGCACACAGACCAACAGAACAGAATAGAGAGCATAGAAATGAAACCACACATAAATGATCAACTACTCTTCGACAAAGACGCCAAGAATACAAAATGGGGAAAAGACAGTCTCTTAAGTTTTTGATGTTACAACGAACTGGATATCCGCATATAAAGAAAAGAAATTGGACCCATATGCAAAAATCAACTCAAAATGAATAAAGACTTAGATATAAGACCTGAAACCAAAACAATTCAAGAAAACGTAGGGGAAAAGTTCCTTGACAGTGGTCTTGGCAATGATTTCTTGGCTATGACATCAAAAGCACAAGAAAAAATAAGCAAGTAGGATTACATCCAGCTAAAAACCTTCAGCACAGCAAAAGAAACCATCAACAAAATGAAAAGGCAGCCAATAGAATGGGAGAAAATATTTTTAAACCACATATCTGACAAAGGGTTAATATCCAAAATATGAAAGGAATTCCAACAACCCAACAACGACAAAAAGTAACCCAATTAAAAAATGGCGAAAGGACCTGAATAGGCATTTCTCCAAAGAAAACATACAAATGGCCAATAGGTATAAGAAAAGATGCTCGACATCATTAATCATCAAAAAAATGCAAATAAAAACCACAATAAGCTAGCACTTCATGCCTGTTAGGATGGCTATTATCAAAAATAAAGATGACAAGTCTTGACAAGGATGTGGAAAAAAGGAAACCCTTTTATACTGCTGATGGGGATAAAAATTGGTAAGGTCATTATAGAAAACAATATGGAGGTTCCTCAAAAAATTAAAAATAGAACTATACTATGATTCAGCAATCTTGTTTCTAGGTACACATCCAAAGAAATTAAAATCAGGATCTTGAAATGACACCTGTACTCCTATATCCATTGCAATATTATTCACAATATCCAAGATAAGGAAACAAACTAGCTGTCCATCCACAGATGAATGAATAAAGAAATATGATATATACGTACAATGGAATATTATTCACCCTTAATAAAGAAGGAAATCCTGCCATTTCCAACAACACAGGTGGACCTGGAGGACATTATGCTAAGTGAAATAAGCCAAATACAGAAAGACAAGTACTGTATGATCTCACTTATATGTAGAATCTAAAATAGTGAAATTCATAGAAGCAGAGAGTAGAATAGTGGTTACCAGGGGATGGAGTGGGGGAAGTGATGTTCAAAGGGTACAAAGTTTTAGTTATGCAAGATAAATAAGTTCTAGAGATCTACTATACAATATAGTGCCTGTAGATAACAATACTATATTTTATACTTAAAGTTTTCTAGGAAGGAAATTTTATGCCAAACATTCTTATCACCAAAAATAATAACAATAATAAGAATAAAGGGAGCAGGAGGAACTTGGAGGTGATGGGTATGTCTCTGGCCTTCTCTATGATAGTATCCTTGTCTGTGGATACATCTATAGTAGTGACGGTTTCATGGGTATATACTTGTTCCCAAACTCATCAAACTGTGCATTAAATATGCAGAGCTTCTTATACGTCAAACATATCTCAATAAAGTCTTTTTTAAAATTAAAATAAAATATAATTGTGTTTAAGTATGAAATTTCGTTAAAACTGTAAATTAAAATAAATGAAAATGAAAAAACTATAATTATTTTTCATATAATTACAAAAAGTTCTTTTAGTATTAAAATTATGTTTTAAAGCAAAATGAAATTATAAAAAATGAACATAAAATTTTTACTGAAATTAAAGAAAGCTGATATTTTTTATCTCAAAATTTTAATTAAATTTTATTATATATTATTGAAAAATAAAACTATTTTCAAATTTAGCATTCAAGGTCACCTAGTTGTCAACGTAAAGTGTCAGAATCATATTTCATACATGTTACATTGGCCTACATGCATAAGTATTATAGGTAATATAAATTATTTAATATTATAAAATGTTTCTCAATGGCCA